CACGTAGTATTCCATAGTGTATATAAACCACAATTTCTTTATCCATTCATCAGTTGATGGACATTTAGGCTCTTTCCATAATTAACCCAAAATTCTTAAGGCCAAATTAATTTTTTAATTCTCTTTGGTTTGGAAAATGTATTTCTGTCATGACTGTTACCAAATACCATTGTATGGAAAAGAAGATAGTAAAATACTAAGATCAAGATTATTGAAAGATTAGTCAAGATTTCTGGAGTTATTAGATCACAAGAGATCTACTACAAGCTAAAGATATTTTACTCCAGATATTTTACTACAAGCTAAACAAAACAGATCATCCTAACTTCAAGTTGTTTCTCTTTCAGGTATTTCCTGTCTCCATGAATAGTAGTCAGTACTTTTTAAAGTTGTGTTAGACTTGTGTTTCCTAGTTATTCAACAAAGAAATGTAAAATTGAAGAATGGCATATATGCTTAAGCCAACTCATGGCTTCACACATATGTTGTTTGTTGAAAGGATTTTATGACCTTAATAATTATAATTAAGTCTTAGAGAGGAGGTAGATAAAGTTTTTTCACTGTGGCAAAGAAACCAAGTCAATGGAAGATAATTCAGTTGTGTCTCATATTCAATTCCCTGTTAGACGAACAATACAATTATTTTTAAAAGTTTATTAATACAAGACATTAACACACCAAGTTCAAGCTGATCTTTGTAATAAAGAGTACTAGGAACACTTAAAATATGTTTAGGCTGTACTCTTAATCTTTACTTTAGCAGAGAAGTTTAAAAAATATTATGCAATACTTTTCCCAGAGGTGAAACCAAAGAGATGACTCAAGTTCATTTGTAGTAACCATTTCCTGCAATATTAATTTCATAACACACATTTTTGACACAAAACAGAGGTCATTTTCATCATTTACCATAAATGCTTTGTTGTCTTGATTTAGAACAGACAAAACTCACACCGATTCACCATACCCTACTCCTTTCCAATGTTGTTGTGAATACCAATAATTTAAATTATGATAATATTTATAGATGACTGCAATATAAAATACATCTACCACCATGTATGGTATACATGACTGTATAGAATGATTATAAGACAAACTGAAAATATCTAAAAACTCGATTTAAGGTGTTTAAAGTAATTATAAATGCTCAAAGAAAGTACCAGAAGAGACCAGTTTTGACAAACATATAGGAATGGTAGACAACTTTATTTAATTCAGTTTCACAAGTTTGGAATACCGACTCCAAAATATAGTCAATAATTAATTTAAGGACTTTGGTTTCTTAAATGTGGTTATTAATAATATGATCTACTTTTACTGTTATATAACAAAATTATTGACAAGATACTTGGAAAAGCTTCATAACAACAATTCCATGAATTATTAACATTATATGGGAATAATGATCATATATACATGACCATTAAGCTTAATTCTAACTTTCCAGTTGGTTTCAGAAAAAAGACAGTGTACCCTCTATCCCTCCTCAGGTATGAACTGGGCAACTACCACAATATAACTTTATTTCATTGGCCCTTCTGGTATATTCTCATTGGCCCAATTCACATGACTCAAAACTACTGGGAAAGAGAGATGAAGAAAATCTTCTCTTCCTCAACCATAGATATTTAAGCTTAGTGACTTTATATTTAATAGATCTATTTTCTACAATTATGGGCATGAAAAACAGATACTAAATTACCTTTTGTTCTTCATATGCATCTTTCAGGCAAACATAATTTGTTACTGCCCTCATTGCTATTGGCAATTTTCCAATTGCCTTCAGATCAATAGGCTTTTTATGAGCAGATATGATAAGTGTGTTCATCCACCAGTATGTTGCTTTTGACAATAAATTCACAAACGGTTGAAGAAATCTCACACCCAGATCTTGGAGGTCTTCAGGAGGCTTTACTTTCTGAGGATTCATGAAGAATACATATCTCTGTGGCAAGAAAAATTCCACAGAATGATAATTAACCCAATTCTTTTCCCACATATTAAAATAAAATTTTAACCTTTTCTACATTTTCATTTCAACAGGCAAAAATGTTTATTTTACTAAACATTTTCATTCCTTTGGAAATATTCTTTGAAATACTTTCCTTTCACTGTGACTAGATTAATTAGTTAAATACCAGAATTTCACATTTAATCCCGCTTAGAGACAATTCTAAAATTATAGATTATCCCTTTAAAATATAGCTATTGCTAAGAATCAGTCTTTCATGATATACTGTGATAGGGTCAATTAAATAAAGATTTTTACATTATTTAGATTTTTTTAAATGTGTTGACATCATTATTGAGTCACTCTTTGATAATTCATCGTTTGGTTGATGTTCACTAACTATACTCCACTATTCTTTGCAGCTTGTATCTTGACATTCAGAGCAAACTCAAAGCGCTCTGGTAGAAATGAATATTAAAAAATCATTCACAACTATGTCACACAACATAACAGCATTATGTGATGCAAACTACAACAGGTTTGTAATAACAGACCAGGCATGACTCTTGGCTATGCGACTTTGGATATAGCTAGAGTTATCACTGTAGAAGTTTCTTCATCAGTGGAATGAGTAAACATATTATCTTCTTTTCATTTTGAAATTTCTAGGAATACAATAGTTTGCTTAATCTAGGTGTGCTTGGGACACATCATGGATGATGTAATTTTCTGATGAAGATTGGGATACATCATGGATGATGTAATTTTCTGATGCAAACAGTTTCATCTATAATATGAACTGAGATTAATGTTTGGCACACAATCATTCAATCAATATTTACAAATGAATAAATAGATGTAGGGTTCTGGAATACCAATGGTCTGAAACTTAGTGATTAGTTCAACTTTTATACACATAGATGATACACATTTGTTTGTCTTCTTAAATACAAATGATTTCTGGCTGACTGTAATCTCTAATATTGAATTATTAGAGATTCAAGAATCTCTTGAATTCTGGTAATTAAACAAAAATGATTAGATACTTACTCTGACCCGAATTACATTGATCTCCACAGCCATCAGGAGTCCATTCAAGATGACCATCATCCCAGTGATGCAGAAACGCAAGTCTGATACTCCCCAACCAGACTGCCAGTACTTGACTAATTTTATAGTTTTTGTAATAAAGGCCATTACCCAATACAGAAATAGGGCTGGAAAAATAAAAAGGAAAAGGAAAAAGATGCATTTTTTCCCTGATTTTAAAAAACTTCATTGAAATTTCAATATAAATATCATACTCTTTAAGAACAAATATAATTTTAAATATTCTATTTCCACATAATTTTATTTTTTAAGAAAACAACATATATGGAGTTTTGAACTAAAGGTATGGTGATGACTTTAAAATGCTAGTGCTTCTGGACGCCTGGGTGGCTCAGTCAGTCCAACTTCAGCTCAGGTCATGATCTCAAGGTTGGTGAGTTTGAGTCCCACATCGGGCTCTGTGCTGATGGTGTGGGGTCTGCTTGGGATTCTGTCTCCCTCTTTCTCTTCTCCTCCCCTTCTCCCTCTCTCTCAAAATAAGTAAATAAAACTTTTTTAAAAATGCTAGTGCTTCCACTCTGATTATATGTAATAGATGGACAGATGGAAAGAGACATGTAAATAGGAATAACCTACACTCCGGAACTTATGTGTAATTCTGTAGACTTTAAAATTGCTTTGATCTCCTGGTCTTGTTTTTTGTGTTTTTTTCTTATGAAGCCTCAATTATATTATATGAAGAATTCACAAGTTGTTATCTGTGTAACCTATCCAATAGGTAATCTAATGGTATTATGCTGGAATTATTATGGAATGCATATAGCTTTATAATGGGGTTTCTGCTTTCCAGATAGCATTCAAGTAGTAACTCATCTCACCCAAATGGTTTAAAATACCACATGCCTCCACAAAGAGAAGAGAAGAACAATGATCCTACAGAACAAACTCAGACCTTAAGTAGTGGGATGAGAAACGTAAGCATCTATACCATCTCATACCCACAGCCAGCCTTTTATAGCAAATATGAGATGGGCACAGAGACTTTCCTAGAAATAAAAGGTTCAGTATACTTCACACTTTAAATAAAGGTCAGTACAAATAAATATGGGATGAGAAAGAAGAAATCCAAAACACATATGAGACGATCCATTGTACAGCACTTATCAGAATTATTAAAGTTTAAAGGTGGTCACAACTTCCTTAGAAAAAGAATTGAACACTGGCATATAAGCTCATCATCTATCTTGTTTTAGCATAAAATGAAAAGTGCCAGAATAGATTTAGAAAGAAAAAAAAAAGACTACATGCTAACTAAAGATATTCATCTTAAATATAAAGAAACAGTAAGTAGATGGAAAAAGACATACAATGAAAACAGTAAACATAAGAAATCTGAGTGGCTATATTAATATCAGATAAAGTAGACTTAAAGACCAAGAGTATTATCATAAAAAATACTAACCTAAAGGGATACATGCACCCCAATGTCTATAGCAGCATTATCTACAATAACCAAATTATGGAAACAGCCCAAGTTTCCACTAGTGGATGAACGGATAAAGAAGATGTGGTATATATATTCAATGGAATGTTAGTTAGCCACAAAAAAGAATGAAATTTTGTCATCTGCAACAACATAGACGGAGCTAGAGAGTACTAATCTATGTGATATAGCCCAGTCAGAGAAAGACAAATACCATATGATTTTACTCATATGTAGAATTTAAGAAACAAAACAAACAAGCAAAGGGAAAAAGAAAGAGAGAGAGAGGCAAACCAAGAAACAGACCCTTAACTACAGAGAGCAAACTAATAGTTACCAGAAGGGAAGCGGACAGGGGAAGGGGTTAAATAGGTGATGGGTATTAAGGAGGGCACTTGTGATGAGCACCGGGTGTTGTATGTAAGTGTTAAATTACTAAATTGTACACCTGAAATTAATATTACACTGTATATTAACTAACTGGAATTCAAATAAACACTTGAAAAAAAGACAAAGAGTATTACCAGAAATTTTGAAAACTTTTAATAATGACAAAGCGTCAGTCGATTTTTCAGAGAGACACAACAATAAAAAAATACACATATGCCTAATAAAGATTTAGAAGATCTGGTAGCTATCAACCACTTTGAACTGTTTGATATTTATAAAGCTAAATAATACTTAGTATTATAAAAATACACCCAAACACCTGCAGCATATACATTCTTGTTAAGTGCACGGTCCTGGCATAGGCTACATACTTAGAAAACAAGAAAAAATAAACTTAAAATGACAGAAATCATATAACATATGTTCTCTGATCACAATAAAAATAAATTAAAAATCAAGGACAATAAGCATATTGATTTTCTATTGCTGCTAAGCAAATTATGACAGGTTTAGTTAGCAGCTTATACCAACACACAATTATTTTCTCACAGTTTCCATGGGTCAAGAGCCTGGGCATGGGTCAAGTGGGTTCTCTGCTTCAGGGTCTCACCAGACTGCAATCCAGGCCTTGACTAGGGCTGCAGTCTTTCAACAGAAGCTCAACTGATTTGATGTCTTCATCTTTGCCATACTCTATTGGCTAGAAGCAGGTCACAGGTCCCACTCACACTCAAAGGTAGAGAATTATACAGGGTATGAACACCAACAAAAGAGATTATGAAGGTAAACTTCAAGTCTTTCCACACAATAGGATATCTATAAGTCTCCAGATATTTGGAAGTTAAACATAGTTGTAATTGACCACATGTTAAAGAAAAAATCGCTAGGGAAATTAGTATTATAGCTAAATTATAATAAAAATACTACATATTAAAAATTTAAGGATTGCAGCTAAAACAACACTTAAAGGAAAATTTATGGCTTTAAATATTTATTTTAGAAAAAAAAGACAGATCCAAAATCAATGATCTAAGCTTCCATCTTAAAAACTAGGGAAAGAAGAAGAATGAACAAAATAAAAGGATGAAAATGATAGAGATAAGAGTAGAAAGCAATGAAATAGAAAAAAAAATAATTGAGAAAATTAACAAACCCAACCAAGCCAAGCAGGTTGATTTTTTTTTTAAAGATCAAGAAAATTGCTAATTCAGCTAATTCCCCAGCTAGACTGATTAAGAAAAAAAGGAAATCATAAATTGCCAGTATTAGGAATGAAAGAAGAATTATCTCTACATATCCTGTATACTTAAAAAGGATAATCAGGGAATATCTTGAACAACGTCATGACAAATAAAAAAACTTAGATGAAAGGGAAAATTTCTTGAAACCTGTAACTTACCCAAATTGACATGAGAAGAAATACTCTGAAAAGTCTATGTCTAATAGAACAGTAAGTTTATAATTTAAAATCCTCATTTAGATGACTAGGCAGGCAAGAAGGACATATGCCCATAATAGAGAGTGTGTACTCTGAATAAAAGAATCAAGATTAAAAAGAAAAAAGAAAAGGATTTCTAAACCCTGGAAAGACTGAATCTAGCAGAATGAAATTTACTGTGCATAAATGCAAAGCTTTATGTTTAAATTAAATATTGTATGTGTGTTAATAAATAAACACATAAATAAATAAATACATACATAAATAAATAAATAATAAAAATAAATAAAATCCTCACTTAGTTAAAACTCCAGGCCCAGGGGCACTTGGGTGGTTCAGTTCATTGAGCCACCGACTATGGTTCAGGTCATGACCTCATGACCTCATGGTTTGTGAGTTAGAGCCCTGAATCTCGAATCTCCTTGCTGTCAGCCTATCAGTGCAGAGCCCTCTTCAGATCCTCTGTCCCCTTCTCTCTGCCTCTGCCCTTCTTGCACTCTCTCAAAAATAAACAAACATTAAAAAAAAAATCTCCAGGCCCAAATGATTTCACTGATGAATTATTTTGAACATTTAAGGAAGAAATAAAATTAATCATACACAATGTCTTTCAGAAAATAGAAAAATAGAAAAAACTTTTCAATTCATTTTCAGAAGCCAGTATAACCCAGCATATGAAAACCTGACAGACATTACAAGAAAATAGACCAATATGCATCACAACATGGATCTAAAAAAACTTAGCAAACAAAATCTAGCAATATATAGCATGGATAATATATCATGACCATGTGTAACATAGCCCAGGAATTCATGGTTACTTTATCATTTGAAAATTCAAGCAATTAATTTAGTACATTAACAGAAATATAATTGTCCCAATGGATGCAGAATAAAATCTTTAATAGAATTCAACATCTATTCATGATTTAAAAATACAAAAACAAAAACAACTCTGAGAAAGCTCTGAATAGAAGAAAACTTACTCACCTGATAAAGGTCATCTACAAAAAGCTTATAAATAACTTTATATTTAATTATGAAATGTTGATGCTGTTCCCCCTAAAACTGGACACTAGACAAAGATTTCACTCTCCCCATGTCTATTTTGCATTTTACTGGAGGTCCTAGCTAGTACAATACGATGAAAAAAGCATAAAGTTTGAAAAGAAATAAATATAACTGTATTATCAGATGATATGTTTGTATATATAGAAAATCCTAAGAAACCTATAAAGCAATATTTAGAAGAAATAAGAAATTTTCCAAGGTTTCAAAACATAAGGTCAATATACAAAATCAACTGTATTTCATAAACATGACAAACAACTGGGAAATGAAATTTAAAATACAAGTCTATTTATAATAGCAATGGGAAAACAAAAAAAGCTAATAATAAATTTAGTAAGACATGGAAGACCTCCACCCTGAAAAATAGAAAACATTGCTAAGAGAAAAAAAAGAAGACTTAAATAAATGAAGAACTGGTTGTGAAATTCAATATTGTTAAAATGTCAATTCTCCTTCAAACTGTTGTAAACATTCAGTGCAATCCCTATCATAATCCTACTGAAATTTTTTGGGGAGAGAGTAGAAATTGACAACCTGATTCTAACCATATATGACAATACAATAGAACTGGAATATCCAAGGCAATCTTGGGAGAAAAGCAAAGACAACAAGTTGTATGGTATACTATATGATTTCAAGACATCCAAAGCAGTAGTAATCAAAACAGAATAGTAATCTTATAAAACTCACAAATACATCAGAGGAACAAACTATAGAGCCAAGAAACAGATCATACTTAAATAGTAATTTGACTCAATATTTTACAAAGGTCCCAAAGCAATATAATGAGAAACGGAAAGTCTACCTCACAAATTATGCTGGAATACATGGATATCCGCTCGGGAAAAACAAAAAAGAGCCTTGGCACCAACCTTACACCACAATTAATTTTAAATGGATCATAGTCCTAAAAATAAAAACTAAAACTATAAAGCTTCTTTTAAAAAAACACACACACAAGAGAATGAGGGAAACATATTTAGAGCAGAGGCAAAAATTTCTTAGGACCCAGAAAGCAATAATTAGATGTTAAAAAATGATAAATTATGCTACATCAAAATTAAAATCTGCCCACCAAAAGACCCAGCTAAGTAAATGAATGTGCATGCCACAGACTTGGAGCAAAATATTCTCAAAACATAGATCCAATGACATACTAGTATCTAATATGTACAAAGTACTCCTGCAACTCAATAAAAAATGGGCAAAATATATCAAAGAGACACTTTACAAAAATCACAAATGACTAATAAACTTATCAAAAAGTGCTCAACATCATTAGCCATCAGGGAAATGCAAACTAAAACCACAATGAATTATCGGTACATACCCACCAGCATGGCTAAATTAGAAAAATTAAATCATCAAATGTTGGTGAGCATTTGGAAAAACTGGAACTCCTACACATTATTAGTGAGTATATAAATTAAACCACTTTGGGAAAAGAACTTGTGGGTTCTTAACAAAACATAAACATTTACCTACATACCCTATGACCCAGCAATTCCACTCTTAGGTATTTACTCAAGAGAAATAAAAACATATATCCAGGGGTGCCTGGGTGGCTCAGTTGGTTAACTTCTGACTCTTGATTTCAGCTCAGGCCATGATCTCATGGTTTGTGGGATGGAGCCCACATTGGACTCTGTGCTGACAGCAAAGAGCCTGCTTGGGATTCTCTCTCTCTTCCTCCCTTTCTGCCCCTGCCCCACTCATTCTCTCTCTCTCTCTCCCTGTCTCAAAATAAATAAATCGCATGTGAATGTTTATACCAGCTTTTCTTCCATGATAGCCAAAACCTGGAAACAGTCCAAATACTTACTGTTAAGAGAACGGAAAACTGTGGTATATTTATACAATGGAATAATACCCAACAATTATAAGAAAAAAATATTGATCTGTAGTACGTTATGAATGAACCTTAAAAAATCATGCTGAGGGGCGCCTAGGTGGCTCAGTTGGTTAAGTGTCTGACTTCAGCTCAGGTCATGATCTCATGGTTCATGAGTCTGAGTCCTGTGTCAGGCTCTGTGACAGCTTGGAGCCTGGAACCTGCTTCGGATTCTGTTGTCTCCCTCTCTCTCTGCCCCTCCCCCACTTGTGCTCTGTGTGTGTCTCTCTCTCTCAAAAATAAGGAAACATAAAAAAAAGAAAAGAAAAGAAAAAAATGCTGAGAGAAAGAAGTGGTTACACAAAAGAATTTATACTGTATGATTCAATTTATGTGAAGTTCTAGAACAGGCAAATCTAATCTTTGGTGGAAAAAAATCAGATTAGATTTTGCCTCTGTGGAGATGAAAATGAGAATTGACTGGTAAAGGGACACAGGAAAACTTTCATGGATGATGGCACTGTTCTGTATCATGATATGGTTATACAGGTGTGTGTGTTTAGCAAATTAAAATTTCTATACTTAAGTATGCAAATTTTATCTCCCAAAAAGAACTGTAGAAAAATTTTAACTCTAGTTAATGATATGCATGCTGAAATAATTAGGAGGTGAAGCCTATTAATGTCTGTAATGTACTTTAAAATGTATCCAAAAATAAGATGGCTGGATATAGGGATGGAAAGATGTAGACATGTGATAAAAATAAACAGAATAAATCGTAAATTGAAGAATCTAAGTACATGAGTATTCTCTTGTTTTTGTTTTTTTTTTCAACTTTCTGTGTATTTGGTGATGTTCATAATATAATGTTGGGACAAAATCAGTAGTTTTTTGATCTGAAAATAAGTGTAATTTTTCTGGGCCCAAATATTTCTCTCCTAAAATAATGAGAAACTTAGACTTTTATCTCTGTAAGTCCATCCCAATATGATCAAATTGTGCCCTCTGTCTTGTATCTGCTCTGATCTCCAAGCCAGACTCTGATCACATCTCCTTCAAATATTATTAAGATGCATATTTCCCTTCTAATTATATCTTACAACTCTTATATCTTATTCATCATCAGTTTTTCAAAAACTTAAATGTCTAGCATATTGGATATCCAATGGTATGTATATATATTTTTGCTATTGCTGTTAAAAATTTCACTCTTTTTCTTGGCATCCTCATAAAAAGATTTCTGTGATAGCATCTGCTTATCATGTTGTACTAGACGGCCTTCTATTAAGATAATTCAGACTTTGACAAGCCTTTTAAATTAATGTTTAATCCGGTCTACTTATTTGTGTTAGACTGCCTTTGCCCAATCATCTGCTGTGGTGCAACACAATTAAATAATCAGTATTTCCCACTAATACATTTAAATTTTTAATGTCCTCTGGACAGGCAAATAAAATATTTGTGCGGTTTAATTATTATTTTCACAAATTTCTATATTCATCATTGAGCAATCAGGTGAACTCTCTGAAACTGATAAAATTGTAAGCATTCATTCACACACAGATAGGTCTGCCTGCTGTTTTAGGATATTCACAGGTCCTTGAAGCCGAACCATGATCCATGTTCTACACCTTCATCTTAGCTCTCTTTATGCAAATGTACCCTGAGCTTCTGGGTGGCTCAGTCGGTTAAGTGTCCAACTTCCTCTCAGATCATGATCTCACTGCTCGTGGGTTCGAGCCCCACATCGGGCTCAGTGCTGACAAGCTAGGAGCCTGGAGCCTACTTCAGATTCTGTCTCTGTGACTCTGCCCCTTCCTTACTCACTCATTCTCTCTCTCTCAAATATAAAAAATAAAACATAAAAAATAAATAAAAAAAAAAGAAAATGTACACCGAGGAATGCAAGGATTGGTCAAAGTATTAAATACCACTAATTGGATAAGTGACATTATTTCAATGTGAGGCAAAAATAAAATTAGAACACCTTAGAGAGGCTCTTATTTCCATAGGACAAGGAAGCAAGAGAGGCTAAAAAAGAAAAGGTTAGGCATGAAGCAGATCTGAGGGGCCATGCTTTGGGGACAGTACAGTTTTCAGCATGCTGTGAAGCATACTCTGCTGCACGAAGTCCCCTGATACCTCGGCAGCAATGCTATGAAGAGTGTGACATTGCCCCCGCCTCAGTGAAGGCTGAGACCTTCCGAAAATGCCTCAGGACTCCAAGCCAGGGGCAGAAACACACAACCAGACACACCAACTTGCTGCTGGGGCAGGATGGTGCACGGGTTCAGATTCTTAGAGTACAGCCTCTACTAGCCAGAAGGCTAGCACACCCGTCCACTTTGCTCCTGCCTCACACTAACACATCACAAGGGGCATCTGTGAACGGATGTCTTGGGGGTCGAGAGTTTTCACAGCCTAGAGCACTCAGTGTATCTTCATCTCCCCATTCACCAGGAGACTAGAGAAGAACAAACTACAGTGTTTTTCCCATGCTTCCCAGTCCCAACCCCCCACAGACAGAGTGTACTAGGAGGAAAAAAATAGTTCTGGGGTTGAGGGGGACACTTGATCATACTTACCTAAAAGCAATTTAGGAAAATTTGATGTTTCAATATTATGATAATATACTATTGATGTTGTAGTGGCGACAAATCCCATCACAGCTGGCATGAAGAGGTGGAGATGCCGTGATTCCCGCCGTCTACGGAGAGCGGTACAGTATCAGTGTCTAGAGCTGATGGTTCCAGATTCTCATTTTGTTTCCATTTTTCTCTAAAACTTTCTCTTAATAACAAGATATTTAATATACAGAATGCAGTAGCAGTGGCTACGAGAACATGCAAAGGTAGACTCCATTGGGAGACATAATTCTGCTCAAAGGGTTTATCCCAACACAGAGGAGCAGGTACCACAGCTCAACAAGACCTTAAATACTCACAACAAAAGTAAGTATGTAACTACTCCTATTCTGAAGGGCAGAACTGCTGAAATAATTTAACACCTAAAGCAAGTAAAAACTACCGGATGAATGTGAACTCTAATGTATGTGAGAAGTACACTTATTCTTTTGATGGCTTTCCTAAACTATATGGCTGTTAGTGATTTCTCCATTTCTATTAATTCGTTCAACACAAATGTGTGTGCTGTGTCCAGGCATGATTAGTTGTTGAGATGCAATAGTGAATGTGACAAGATACAGTGTCCATAGTCATAAAGCCCAGAGTCTGTTGGTGATACCAAGAGTAAGGAGGAAATTATCGCCCAGGTGAAGGGACTACAAGTGCATGCAGGGTTAGTGTCTAAGGAAGAGAAAGCTGTGTGAAGGAACCTACTTCTGAACTGAGGCCGTAAGAATGAGGAACTGCTGTTCAGAGAAGGAAGAGAAGACTGTTCCAGGCAGAGGATCCAGACATGTCTAACACAAGCAACTCAATATGATTGAAAAGAGACCAGATTTCATTCTGAGGGTAGTAGAGAGCTTCACTCGGATTAGAAATATGACAGAACCGGATTTACGTGGTGGACAGCCCTCAACTCCATTTACATTAATAATGTAAGCTGGTAAAACATTTAACTGTTCTCAAATTACTTAAATACATTCAGACATAAACGGTATAAGGAGTGATTAGTTTGAGAGTGGGGGAAAAGGAGCATTTGGGAAAGTCGCTTCAGAAGAAGTAAAGTTGACAGTGGAAATGGAAACATGAAAAGGAATCCACTAATCAGGAATGTGGAAGAAGAGCATTTTAAAAAGAGAGAACAGAATATGTAAATACATAGAAGGAGGAAACTGTGTAACATGTTCAAAATTCCAAGTAGTTTAATATTCTCAGAGAGTTTGAAACAGGATATGTGGTGAAAGGCTCTGTATGCCATGGTAAGGAGCCGGAATCTAATCTTTCGGAAAATCTAAATAATTTAACAGGTAAGTGGCATGGTCAGATTTTAGGGGGTTTTAGACAAATCAATCTTGTAATAATGTGGATGATGCAGTAGGTAGGTAGTGTGTGCATCTGAGGAGAGGGGAGAGACATACAAGGAAGAAAAGCAGTTAGCAAACTGTGGGTATAGACCAGGCAAGAGATGACAGAAGCCTGAATTAAGTTTCAGCAGCAAAAACATGAAAGAAATACAACATCTGGAAAATATTCATTGTTAAAATGGACAGGACTTTAATAGTGTTAGGGTATGAGGGTGAGGGTGATGGAGACGTAGAGAATAATTACCAAGGAGCCTGGATGGGGGGTGGGTAACCAAATAAGACTTCAAGAGGATGAGCAGATTGGAGAAAGGAAGCCAATAAGTTCTAGCAAGGCCACGCGGGCTGTGAAGGTGTCTAATAAACATGCAAAAGGAGTTGTCTAATAAGCCAAGTGTATGCAGAGATTTGGAACATGACCACTGATATTCCTGGAATCATTAATATAGACAATTTTAAAGTACCATGATAGCGTAAAAGCTGGTTTAAAAACCACCTACCATCCCCAGAAATACTTCAAAACAGTCAAAAAGTAGGAAATAAATATTTAATCACTACAGAAATTAAGAAATGCTTCCAGCATTCTTTTACTACTGAATCAAAGAAAGAATTAAAAAATCACTTACATGGCACAAAAACAGACACATAGACCAATGGAATAGAATAGAAACCCCAGAACTAGACCCACAAACGTATGGCCAACTCATCTTTGACAAAGCAGGAAAGAACATCCAATGGAAAAAAGACAGTCTCTTTAACAAATGGTGCTGGGAGAACTGGACAGCAACATGCAGAAGGTTGAAACTAGACCACTTTCTCACACCATTCACAAAAATAAACTCAAAATGGATAAAGGACCTGAATGTGAGACAGGAAACCATCAAAACCTTAGAGGAGAAAGCAGGAAAAGACCTCTCTGACCTCAGCCGTAGCAATCTCTT